ACCCGCATTGGGCTCCCTGCTCAGCGGGGAGTCTGCTTCTCCCTCTCCCTCTGCCCCCTGCTCATGATCTCTGTCTGTCTCTCTCTCTCAAATAAATAAATAAAATCTAAAAAAATAAAAATAAAGATAAATAAATAAAACAAGGATGTGGATAAAGTGGCAAATATTAAAAATAATGATAACACACAATGCTGGGATGGATACAGTGAAATAGACACTCTTCTATGCTGCTGGTGGGAGTTACCCATCGGTGTAAGTTTTCTGGAAGGGAATTTGGCATGGAATATCACAAAAACTTAAAAATGTGTATTCCCTTTTACCTAATGATTCTACTTTTGGGCATTTACCTTAAGGGAATAATAGCTGTGTGCACATATGTTTATCTTTAAGAATGTTAATTAAAAAGGACCTGAGTTCCAACATCAGAGAAATGGTTGCATAAATTATAGACCACCCAGATAAGGAAATACCAGACAGTCATTACAAATTATGTTGAAGGTGAATACTAAGTTAGAAAACATTTAAAGGGGTGCCTGGCTGGCTCAGTTAGTGGAGCATGAGACTCTTGACCTTAGGGTCATGAGTTTGAGCCCCATGTTGGGTGTAGAGATTACTTAAAAAATAAAAGATAATAAAAACAGGGGCACCTGGGTGGCTCAGTCGGTTGAGCAGCTGACTGTTGATTTTGGCTCAGGTCATGATCTCAGGGTTGTGGATTGAGCCCCACGTGGGGCTGTGCAGTCAGTGCAGTCTACTTGTCCCTCTCCCTCTGCTCCTTCCCCCGCTAGCATGCACACACTCTCTCTCTCAAGTAAATAAATAAAATCTTTAAAAAATAAAAATAAGGGCACCTGGGTGGCGCAGTTGGTTAAGCGACTACCTTCGGTTCAGGTCATGATCCTGGAGTCTCAGGATCTGCTTCTCCCTCTGACCCTCCCCCGTCTCCTGCTCTCTCTCTCGTTCTCTCTCTCAAATAAATAAATAAAATCTTAAAAAAATAAAAAATTAAAATAATTAAAATTAAAAATCTTAAATAATTTTTTAAAGAAAGAAAAAAGAAAACATTTATAATATATCATGTAAAAGGGGAAAAATTTGTAAAACAGTATGTAGCATGTGATCCCAGTTTTATTTAAAAGTTATAGGTATTTTAGGAAATTGATTAAAGGAAAATATATCAAAATAGTAACATGACTATATCAGGGTGATTTTTATTTTATTCTTTCTTTATGTATACTTTGTTTCAGATGTCTTACAATGGACATAAATTGTTTTTCTAATCAGGAAAAATAATCCTAATTTAAAATATCAGACATAGGTGTTGGCCAGAAGGCTGGTAGTAGTATGGTGTGACCTGAGGCTCTACCTACCCTAGAAATCGCCCTGCTGACCAAAATAACATGTTGGGGAGTATTTTCTTGGTGTTGCTAAGAGTGTTGTGGGCAGGGAGAGGCCGAGCAGCAAGGAGGGCAGCTGAAAGGCTCCTGTCCTTGTCTAGGTGTGAAGGCAAGGGCCTCATCCATGGGCAGATGGGAAGTCAGTGTCCTTTCCCAGCTTCCTGCTCTTCCCTGTCCTGGATCTAGTTCTGAGGAGAAGACTCCAGAAGATCAAGCCAGGGTTGTATGCTAGCCCCAAGTCCATTGTTCTCTTGGCCCCTGTCCTAGGTTAGGGTTAAGGCAAACTTGAGCTTAAGAAGGTAGAAGGAAAAGGGCTAGCTAGAACACTGTCTGCTTTTTTAGAGTATTCCCAGCCCTGTTGGAAAGTTGGAGACACTCTTTGTGCCCAGAGGTGACTGCAGCAACAAGAATGTTTTTCTGGCTTGACTTTGCACCAAGTAGCCTTTCTTATACCAGGCGCTTGGCCTCTATCTGCTCTTCTGGTTGTGTTCTAAGCCCACTTGATCCCTTTCTTCCTTCATTTTCCCTGGCTGGAGTGGCATCCCCGATTAGAATGGTTCCCTCCTTCCATATAAGCAGAACAAATCTTTGGATTCTTCCTGGGGCAGATATGACTCCAGAAATGACTCCCCTACAAGGCTGCCTTGCTGGATCAGCCAGCACAGAGCAGCCCGAATATGTGAACTCAGGAACTGAGACAGTCCTCTGAACCACAGCATACCTGGGAAGCAGGTGTGCAAAGAGTAAGACTGGCACCTTTAGGGTTCAGCTAGGTGTTCCCTGGGCACACGGGAGCATGTCACATTTCCTCTGTTTCCCACTGGGGGGAATTTCTCTATGCTTCTTCTCCCTCTTAAACCTTGTCTGAGAAGCCTGAGTGGACAGAGGGTCCACTCTATGTGAGGGCTGGAAGAAGAGTTCCTTGTGTGCTAGGAATTTTGGGGGAAGCCTGGATGGCCACCCTGGCCCCATGCCATAAAATGGTTTATTGGCTATATACTATAGATTTTTCTTTTAAAGATTTTATTTATTTTGACAGAGAGAGAGCACAAGCAGGGGGAGTGGCAGGCAGAGGGAGAGGGAGAAGCAGGCGCCCTGCTCAGCAGGGAGCCCGATGCGGGACTCGATCCTAGGACCCTGGGATCATGACCTGAGCCGAAAGCAGACGCTTAACTGTCTGAGCCACCCAGGCACCCCTATATACTAGAGATTTATTCATGTTCCTCTTTAATCCCAGAATGCCAAAACATCGTATCTTATTCATGTATTTTTTAATAGTGATATCGAGACAAATTGACATACCATACAATTCATCTAAAGTATACAGTTCAGGGGCGCCTGGGTGGCTCAGTCGTTAGGCATCTGCCTTCGGCTCAGGTCATGATCTCAGGGTCCTGGGATTGAGCCCCACGTCGGGCTCCCTGCTCAGCGGAGAGCCTGCTTCTCCCTCTGCTGCTCCCCCTGCTTGTGCTTTCTCTGTGTCTGTCTCTGTCAAATAAATAAATAAATCTTAAAAAAAAAAAAAAGTATACAGTTCAGTGGTTTTTAGTATATTCAGAGTTGTGCAGTCATCACCATAATCAATTACATCAGCCAAATAGAAACTTTGTACCCATTAGCATTTCCTCCCTATTTACTCCCAGCTTCCTCTACCCAAGCCCTGGGCAACCACTAATCTATTCTCTGTCTCTGTGGATTTGCCCATTCTAGACATTTCATATAAATGGAATCACACTATAATGTAGTCTTTTGCGACTTGTGTCTTTCACCTATCATAATGTTTTCAAGGTTCATCCATGTTGCAGTATGTATCAGTACTTCTTTTTGTGGCTGAATACTATTCCATTGTATAGATAGACCACATTTTGTGTACCCATTCATTCATCGGTGGGCATTGGGGTTGTTTGCACTTTTTTGATATTATGAAGAATGCTGCCATAAACATTCACGTAGAAGTTTTTGTGAGTCCATATGTTTTCGTTTCTCTTGGGTATAAACCTAGGAGTGAAATTTCTAAGTCATATGGTAACTCTGTGTTTAACTGTTTGAGGAACGGCCAGACTGTTATCCAAAGTGGCCATGTACCATCTTAAAATCCCACCAGTGGTGGATGAGGGTTCTGATTCCTGTGCAATCTTATCAGTGTTTGTTAGTATCTGATTTTTTTATGATAGCCACCCTAGGGGGTATAAAGGGATATCTCATTGTGGTTTCAGTTTGCATTTCCCTGTGATTAATGATATTGAGTGTATTTTGGCCGTTTGTATATCTTCTTCGGAGAAATGTCTGTTCAGATCTTTTGCCCATTTAAAAAAGTAGGTTATCTTTTTATTATTGAGTTGCAGGAGTTCTTTATATATAGACATAGTATATAGACACATGACCCATATCAGATGTAGGATTTGCAAAAATTTTCTCTCTTTTGTGTGTTGTCTTTTCACTTTCTTGCTGGTGTCCTTTGAAGCACAAAAGTGCTTCATTTTGGTGACGTCCCTTCCTTATTTTTAACTGTGGGCAAAACAGGCAGAAATGACGAGGGGCAGGAATAGCCAAGTTCAAACTGTCTCCATTCTGCCACAACGGATGGGCTTGCAGGCGGCAGCGCTCCATGATTAAGAAAACCCCAGGATGACTCCAGGCAACTGGGAGAGCATAGATGAGGTCCATATGAACAGCAGGTTGGCGCTGCTCTGCAGATAGTGATCCTCAATGCCCAGGACGCTGTGGGCATGGGATTGGGAGAGCCTCCCAGCATGGCAGTGCAGCCTCTCTGGGGGCTAGTGAGAGAGCCACAAACTGGTTATTGGGGAGGATGTACTTTGCCCTGCATCTGTTTGAATCCGTGATACGTTGTCGAATTTACCTTGCCTGGATTTGTGTGGAGTCACGGGGCGGGGGGTGGGGATTAGCTTTGAAGTTGTGTCAGATAGGTCCTCAGTGAGCTGATGTGAGGTGTGAGGAGGACCTTGCTGGGAAGAGAGACTGAGTCTTTCTTGCCATTGGTCTTCTCAGGTGCCCATCATCTGGAGAGGGAGAGCTCTCCTTGTACTTAGAAATTCAGTAGCAGGAATCCCAGGCTAGCTCCCCTGTCAGCCCTGAGGGAACTGTAGAATTCTGATTGGCACCTTCCAGAAGCCTGCTGTCTTAGAACCGAAAGCAGCTTTTGCTGACATCTGGTCCTTCTGGGACGCTGATATTTTTATTTATACAGTGACACTCTCATCCCCAAATAGATTCTTATTTTTAACAGGCTTGCTCCCTTTGAGGGATGCCTGAGGCTCCCAACTTCGCTCGCTGGCATCTCAATGTAAACCCTGCAAAGACAGGAAGGTCCATGGCTTGTGCCCGAGCAAAGAAGGAGGAACACTCACCAGCCAGGAAGTCCAACAGCTCTGTCTTTACATCTGGAGTCCGAGTTCTGCATTAATCTAGCCTTCCTTATCAAGCTCAGTCGCAAGGGAAAAACTTCCAATGAGCCGTAATTGCCGCCCCTCATAAGATAAGAAATGGTGCCTGAGGATACCCTGATTCCCTCCTCCACTCCCCCCCCACCAGTCTGCTGCCCATTCTCTCAGCGGGTCCCCCTTGCTTCTTGTCTTTCAGCTACCCAACATGTTTGGCGACCTTCGGTCCACGTTTATTGCCTTGATGATTGGATCCTATGCCTCCTCAGCAGTCACCTTCCCGGGAATCAAGGTGAGGGTGTGGCCACCTCACCCTCTTGTCCTAGTGTCTGAGCAGAGGCCCCTCCCAAGGCTCCTTCAATCTTCTCTGAAGAGGGAAGTAACTGTGGGAGCTGGGGTTGGCCCCGCCCCACCACCCACACCTGGGAGGATGCACCTGGGCACCACAGGAGTAAGAAAAGAAAACCACTGGGCTGTGGGGGAGGGAAAATTCAAGCATATCATACAGGGTGTTACCGCAGGCCGCCTTTACATTTCTGCTGTTTCTGCACTGGGGTAGAGAAAAGGGATGGTTGAGTTAGTCACTGGTCACCCCACCCCCTGGTCTGTTGTTGCTGGGCTGTTACTGTCCATTGGCCAGAACACGGCTCTTGGCTAAGTTGGTTCAGCTGTTTCCCTCGCAGGCAGGATTCGGAGCCTGTGGAAGTCACGCAGGGTCAGGAGGAAGCAAACACCTCACAGTCCACCGGTTCCTAGTCCCCACTCCAAGTACTGTTGTTCCTGCCATGCTTCAGAAGCAGCTTTTCCCACCTCTGGCCTTAACACAAGTCGAATCCCATTTCCTGCGGTACCTAGCAGGGAGGCCATAGATGAGAAGGAGTCCTAGATGTGGGCTGGCCACCGGGGAATCGAGGTGCTGGACGGTGTGGGGCCAGCCATCCTGTGGACTTCTACGGGTTCTCACGCTTCTGGAGTGTGGAAAAGCCCACAAGTTCCTCCTCTCCCTCTTCTTGCTGTCTCACTGCTGGTCCCCTTCCCTCCCCCACCCCAGGGGTGGGGGCTGGGCAGCTGTCTGCCAGGATACTGGGGACTCCTGCGTTGGAGATAAATGGTGGCAGTGACAACAGCTAACAGCTAACATGCTCGTGTTCAGGAGGCTTCCCACCTGCCAGGCCCCATACTGAGCACCCTGAGGATCCCAATGCTTAGCCCTCACCAAAGCCCCATGAGGGTGCATGCCAGTACGACGCTCGTTTCACAGAGGAGCAAAGGGAAACGTCCGTCGGTTCATTCCTTGAGTATTTTTTGGCACCTACCATGTGCACTCTTCAAGGCGCATCAGCGGACAAGGCTAGCGGGTTCCTGTTCTCAGGGGGCTAGACTAGTAAGGGACAAGGAAAGTAATCAAGAAGTCCATAATCTCAGCCAGGGCTGTTCCCTGGGAACTAGTGATGTGACAGTGCCGAGGGGCAGTCAGGGAAGGCCTCTCCAAGGAGGTGACATTTGGCCCAGGTTGGAGGCACAGGGGGTTAATGACGTGCCAAGGCAAGCTGGGATGATTGGGATGCAGGGTATCTGATGAGCAGACAGCCGGGCAGGGCTGAGCCTCCTCACACAGCTCCTCGCAGGGAGAGCAGGGCTGCCAGATGCCCCCTGCCTACCTGCCTTGGCTGCCCTCTGCTAACCTGCCCCTTGGCCCTGCGCCGACCCTGCTGTGCCTCTCAGGTCATCTACGACTTTGGTGTCTCCTTCATCATCATCCTCGTGGTCTGGGCCAGCTGCTCTGGATTGGTTTTCCTCAACTGCTTCTTTAACTGGCCCCTGGAGCCTTTCCCAGGGCCGGAGGACATGGACTACTCGTAAGTGGACGCAGCGTCTGCCCCTACCCCCACCCTGGCCAGGGTCCTGGGCAGCACCAATGGACACTCTCCTGTGGCCTCCAGGGTGAAGATCAAGTTCAGCTGGCTGGGCTTTGACCACAAGATCACAGGGAAGCAGTTCTACAAGCAGGTGACCACGGTGGGGCGCCGCCTCAGCGTGGGCAGCTCCATGAGGAGCACCAAGGAGCAGGCAGCCCTGCAGGAGGGCCATAAGCTGTGCCTGTCCACCATTGACCTGGAGGTGAAGTGCAAGCCAGACGCTGCAGGTACCCACCTCATGGCCCTCACCTTCGTGGCCTGCCTAGGATGTTGGCAGGGGGGTCTGCGCCCCTACCCACACATCAGCGACGGGGAGGAGGCAGCCAATCCAACCTGGAAGCCCCAGCCCCCTTCACTGGGGCCAGCAGCAACCGAGGGCTTTGTGGGTGCCGTCCCACGCAATTGCCACTTCATCCCCAGAGGGCAGGCGGCACCCCGCACCCTGGTTTACAGATGAGCACACTAAGACCCCGAATGGGTAAGGAACTCATCCAACTCATCTCACACACCTGGGTGACCCAAGTCCAGCACCCACACATTTAACCTCACCCAGGCCCATCCCTGCATCCAGCACAGGGTGGTTTGGGCAGCAAACCAGGCCTCCTCTTATGGTCCACCCAGCCCATAGATGGTGGGTGGGCTGTGGGCCACGGGGGTGCAGGCCTCGGTTCTCCTGAGCGCCCCCGCTCTCCTCTCCGCAGCGGCCCCCTCCTTTATGCACAGCGTGTTCAGCCCCATCCTGCTGCTCAGCCTCCTCACCATGTGCATCACACAGCTGCGGCTCATCTTCTACATGGGCGCCATGAACAACATCCTCAAGTTCCTGGTCAACGGCGACCAGGACGTAGGTAGGTGGCCCCTGGACCTCAGTGCACATCCCCACAAGAGGGCACCCCGCGAGCGGTGGTCACTCCTGCCTGCCTGAGGTGAAGCCCCCTGCCTGGAAGGTGTTAGGCTGGGTTGGACTGGAAATAGCAGGCCCCAACTGTTCTCTCCTGTGGCCATTAGAATGTCCCAGTTTGGGCAGGGAGCAGGGAGGGAGACTGAAATAAGGACATGTTTTCAGGGTGTGGGGCGTGGGACCGTTGACTTGCGTGTTTGTAAATGAAAACACCGTGCAGAACGGAGTACTCCACCTGAGAGCCTGTTGAAAGACAGGCCCACCCAAAGCCAAGCATCTCCCCGCCCCTGGAAACCGCAGGCTTGGTTCTCGGGGAGGCTGTGTGCTGAGTATCTGCTGGATACTTTGGGGCAGTCTGTGGCTCTGGGATCTGCACCCTGAACTGGAAGGGCGAGGCAGAGGCTTCCTTGTGTGTGTGATCCAGTTGAGGCTTGTTAAATTTGGTAAACAGAACTGATAACGCACATGCCACTTTTCTAAAACAGCACACAAGGTCTTCAGCTGATTAGAGGTTTTGATTCTACAAAGAAAATCAGTACTTCCTCAGGGCCTGAGCTGAGTCAGCTTTAGTCATCCCTAAGCGGGACAAACACAGTCGGTAAATCCTTTTTATTGGCAGCCCCGTTGGTGTGCAACTGTTTGTTGGTTTAATTGTTTTTCCCTAGGGGAAGTTACACTGGGCATCGCAAGGAGTCAAGTACAGTTTTGAAAGGGGATGAGAAATCGAGCTTGAACAAAAGGGAAAGATGACAAAGGGCCCCAGACAGCACTGGTCCACTGTGAAAGTGGGCATCCCGTGGCAAAGCAAAGTGGAGAAGCACGGGCTGTTACGTGCCTTTGCAAAATTTCGTGATGACCCCTGACACGGTGAAGGCCCCAAGACAGCCCTAGAGGAAAAACTCACCTCTTTAGCTTTGTGTTGTCTAGTGATGTTGCCCCAGATTTCTACCACAGAACATTTCTATTGTGTAACACTCCTTAAACGTTGTGGACCACACTTTGGGGAAAGCTGATCTATCATGTCTAAACACCCTCTATTACAAGCTCAGGCCTGGTGACGTGAAGCCCCTGGAGTGTCCAGGGAAGGGGCCCGCACCGGCTCTTGGAAGGCAGATCTCCCTGTCGCTGAGTCGTGGGCCTTTACTCCAGTTCTCTAAGAAACCTCTTGCTGCCGGAGAGGAATTTTTCTCAACTGTTTCCCACATTCAAAAAGTCAATTAAAAAAAAAGTCAGTTTCGAGAAGTAGAGAAAGTTGGGATAGGAAATTCAGTCTGCAGCTGACGGGGCATTGGTTTTTCCCTGTTCTGCTCTTGTGAGCCATGGCCCCCAACACCCCCCAGCCAGCGGCTCCCAGGGGGGCTGCTGCAGGACCAGGGAGCTGGTGCAATGGAAGAGACACCAGCTCTGGCTGTCTGAGGGAGACCCGTGGTGTCGGACGTTGGGCTGGGGTCAGGGCGGATGCTGTGCCCCTCCCTCCCTCCCAGAGAGAGCCGTTGGAGGTAACTGAAAGAGCAGTGCTCCTGAGGGGCCGGGTTTGCCCAGTCTTCGGCACCCACACCACTTCCCTGTCCTGGTGCTCGGTAGGCACCACAGGCCTGATTCATCAGCCTGCCTGTGACGAGGCCCCGGCTGCATGTGACTGAGGACTCAGCACACAGGAAACCCTCCGGAGATGCCCGTGCTGGGCCTTACCGCCTCTGCTCCCAGAAGCCTGGCTCAAGCTCGGCTTCCCCCCGGCGCTCGGAGAGTCAGATCTTGCTGGGAAATGGCACATGTGCTGGGCGCAGAGCTAGCCTGCTTCCACCGCCCCCCCTTTTCCCTGTAACAGCCTTTGAGGTTTCTGCTGCTAACCTCTCTCCTTTCTGCTTTTTTCCTTTTGCTTTCTTGATGCAGTGATGGCCACTGGTAAGCGAGGGGACTGTCAGAGAACACTGCAATATCCCCTCCAGCCAGTCTCTGTTTTACCAAGAAACATCCCTCTTGGCAAGAACTGTGGGTGGGGAAAGGGGCAGTCAACTCAGCTTCTGTTTGCCTGAAAAAATGCCCGTCATAATTGTACGGCTCTTTGAAGATTGGAGCCGTTACATCAGAGCCCTTGTGAGTGGTGCCTTCCTGGTACACTGCTAGAGGCCGGAAACGTAACAGCTACTCCCACATGAAGCCTCAGTCCCAGGCATCGGTAATTTTGTGGTTCCCAAGTCATAGACACTTCCTGGAGCTTCTCTGGGAGGTCATTGTGACATACTGGATTTCGTTAGCCGTTTCTTGGAAATAAGCAGAAGATGTGGAAAGGAGGCTGGGGTGCCTTCCCGTTGCTCCGGCTTTGATTTCAGAGTTTAAAGTCTCTAAGCTCCCCTCAGGGCCCCCAGGGACCCAGGGGGTGGTCTGTGGAAGACCCCAGAAGGGTCTGTAAAGTCTCAGACTCCACCCAGCACCTGCCCCAGGCTTCTGCTAGGGCCTCCCCGTGACACAGCCCGTTTTCCTCCCCAGTCGGCCTCTACACGTCCATCTTCGGCGTGCTCCAGCTTCTCTGCCTACTGACAGCCCCTGTCATTGGCTACATCATGGACTGGAGGCTGAAGGAGTGTGAAGATGCCTCCGAGGAGCCTGAGGAGAAAGATGCCAACCAGTGCGTAGACAGGGCCTGTGCCCCAGCTCCTGGCCCCCAGAGTCCGACGTGAGGCGGGGACAGGGTGGGCAGCCTGGGTTTTGAAGTCCACAGGAGGCGAGAGCGGGTCGTGCCTAGAGCTACTCGTAAGGGCTTTAAGACACGCTCTCTCTCGGGGCTCAGCACACATGTAAGTGTATCGCTTCCTTATGACGATTCTTGGGTACTTGAAAGTTAGGGTATCCCTGGGCTGGATGAAAGAAGGGGAGAAGGCGGAGGAAGGTGTGTGTGCGGACACTGGGGGTCCAGCCATTCTGCTGTTGGGACTGCACTCAGACGACCAGCACAGTGGGTGAGCGATGTTGACGTGGTCCTGCTTGCCTGCAAGGCTCACTCCCCTCGGTGGAAGCAATAAGTTGCCACACCCGCAGTATGCGTTGCTAGATCTGTTCATGATTGTCAGGATTCAACAAGGTGCTGGACCCCGCTTTTGTAAGGGTTGGGCTCCAAGATCAGAGGATGAGTTAAATGCCGTCTTCCATGACTCCACCTTAATATAATAAGCAACGTTTATTGCTGTAGGCCCTGTGCCAAACACTTAACACACAGCATCTCAGTTAAGCCTCACAACACCTCGATGAGGCGCATACTAGGGTTATACCCATTTTACGACTGCGGGAACTGAAGTTAGGACTTTGAGTAGCTTGCCTGAGGTCACATAGTGAGGAAGCAGTGGGCCTGGAACTCCCTGTATGTCTCCAGCACTTGGCATTCATGCTTGGATGTTGTACAGTCGTCCATGGGGTATCTGTGTGGGCAGTGGGCCTGGAATCGGTAACGGTGAATTCACAAGGAAATAATTACAGAGAATGCTCTGTTATCTAGGTCAGGTCCTAGAGCCAAGAGATTGTGCCCATTCCGGTTCCATCTGCATATTTGTTTCTCCTTCACTCCCTCCTGCCCCCAAAGGGGAAATCCACTCCCTCCCTTATTTGACTTATTATCTGACTTATCATTAGCTCCCTGCAGGATTTGGGTGAAGTCGGAGCCAGTTCATTTGGGTGAAATCCTGACTTGGGCACACTCCGCTCTCTGCCTCCCGATCGTTTGTGCTCAGTCTTCACTGAGGCAGTGCTGCGTGTTGATAGCTGTCTTCTCATATCCGATCTCTCCACTGACGTTCACACTCAGTGCCCAGTCAAAAGTGTGCAGTGGGAGTGTCCCTAGTGCTGGTCTAGCCCTGACAGTCCCTCGGACATGCTTGCATTAGTCTCTGAGTCTTGCATTGTCCACAAGCTGTTTCTCCTGAGGCCTGACTCCCTGGGAGAGCCCATCCTCCTCAGGGAGCCCCCAACTCCAGTGTGTGCTCTGTCTCCACAGAGGCGAGGAGAAGAAGAAGAAGCGAGACCGGCAGATCCAGAAAGTCACCAATGCCATGCGGGCCTTCGCCTTCACGAACCTGCTGCTCGTGGGCTTTGGGGTGACCTGCCTCATTCCCAACCTGCCTCTACAGGTGGGTGTGGGGTGAAGGAGAGGCCAGGTGGGGTATGGGACAATGAGACTTAAAGGTACCTGATGTGTCATGGAAGCCATCCACAAAGACAGGGGTGACTTTTCATTCATTTAATCCAACCAAGCAAGCAACCAGCCCACTGTTATTTACCAAAGGTTTCTTACCTGCCAGGCTCTGTGCTTGATGCTGGGAGTGAGCTCTAAATGAAACTGGGATTACCTTTCACAGAAAACTCTTCTCTGTGAAGGGGTATCATTCTTCATGGCCTTTTGGGCATCTTGCATGCCATGAACACCACCGTCATACCATTTCCTGGAGCTATATGGGGGAGTTGTATGGCTACTTGCTTTGCATTTGTCCAAAGAGGTCTGGCCAATCTATGGCCTTGGTGGGACCATCTGCTTCTCCGGTACAAGAGTGCCTACAGGGTATCTGTGTTGTAGAGGGTGGGAAAGATGGTGACGATCACTTGGCATCAGGGTTCAAAAGCTTAATTCCTTTACACAAGATTTCTGATGCTTTTGAAACCTGACTTTTGGCAGAGATTGGGAGCAAAGTAGATTTTGTCATCTGCCCAGCTCTACCTTTAGGTCCATTAAAGTGTTCTGGTGCCAATCCCCAAGGTAATGGATACTCAAAACGCATCATTTCTTACTTATTTTACTATGTTTTAGCATTATCTGTGCTCTGGAGATTTTTACTTCTCATATGGTATTGGTGGGCCTACTGCATGATGGCGCATCACCGCGAATCTCTGTCCTCCTCATGAACTTTGAAGGGTCATGAGTGATGGCGTTGCTTCCACATGAATTAGACCAAGTCCAGTTACTATCTTGGGCCAGGTCCAGAAGGAAAGTGAGAGTCTCTTCTTTTTTACAAGTGGCCACACGTTGAAGTACATTGAACACCCAGGTGTGCACCACCCGTGGGTACTATCCCGTGTATGTGCTGACGCTGTCTATGCAGACCAGAGTAAACCGTCGGAGGCTTGTACTAGTTCCTGGTGAGAGTGTCCTTGCATCCATGGTGCCCCCCAGCTTCCCGGTGGCTGCCCTCTCTACAAGACCGGCAGATCCTTGTCTTGACCACCTTGTCTGATCGAGGGGCAGTGCTCAGTAGGGATAGTCATCTGCTTTCTGTTTTACTTAGTTCTCGTTGAAAGAGGAGTTCTGCAGAGGCAATAAGAGGAAGGAAGTGGGAAGGGGGAGCCCGCACTGGTATGCGCATGCACAGAGGGGCACAGCCCTCTTTCAGCACTGCAGAGAGCAGCCCCTGCCCCCTCCGTCACCCACATTCCTGGGAACAGGTCCTGGCTGCTGAACAGGACGGCAGGGCTGTGTGCAAAGGGCAAACAAAGGGTCCTAGTGGCAAGATGGTCAGCTCTCGTGCTTCTCAGGAATCATTTACAAGTGCTTCTTAGAGCTTGCTCAGCCTACCAGCGGTGGCCTTTTTGAGAAGCTGAGCTTAACTTGGGAGGGGAGAAGGAAACCTAGCTGCCTATAGGGCCTGGATGACTAGGCACAGAGACCTCTGGGCACAAGTCTCAGATCAGCAAAGGTAGGAGATCAAGTCATGATTAATGACCTATTTAGTGCTGTGTCGATACACACAGAACGACCGATCCTTGGTGGAGGCAGGAGGAGCCTTTACTCGATGTTTGCCAATTTCCATGGTGCAAACGCTTCCATCGTGGCTGATTTCAAGCAGCGTGAAAGCCCCGATTGTGGAGTTGGACAGAGATTGGCGGTGACGCGCCGTCATGCAATAGTCCCACCAATGCCACACGAGAAGTAAAAACCTCCAGAGCACAGATACTAGTAAAACATAGTGCCATAATTCGGGGATGAGTTTTGAGTATCCATTACCTTTTTTGAATATAACTTAATTGTAAGTTTACAAATTTAATTTTTAGTCATGACTGTCTTTAATAGCTGGCTCACGAAATTCCTGAAAATTCGGGAACGGGCCCTGGAGACCTGGTGCGCACCCACGCCAGGTTGCCAGCGCTCCCATTGCTCAGGACCTCCGAGGACCCTCACGCTCTGCTCTCCCTCTCTCAGATCCTGTCCTTCATCCTGCACACGATTGTGCGAGGATTCATCCACTCTGCTGTCGGGGGTCTGTACGCAGCTGTGTAAGTGCCCGTTGCTGTGGGTGGCCTGGCGCCCGTGGTAAGGGAATGGCCTGGGGGAGGCTCGTGGTGGGACTGAGGTTCCAGAGAGGGCCAGCCGGCCATCTGGGCTCATCTTGTATCGGGGGACGGGTACCAGGACTCCTATTGGCTGTGTCAAGGGACGGTCATGGCTGGCGAGAAGTGGGTCGGCGGGCAGACGGCTGGGTGCCCACAGGCCTTGGCATCTAACACGAAGTCAGCTCCCCAGCTAGGGGCCGTGCTCCCGTGTAGCTCGCTGTTGCCTCGGGGTTACCACTCAGCCGCGTCCTGGGACCGCGCCTGGCTGCCCACGGGAGGGGCAGGGGTGGGCTTGGCTGCCCCGGAGCTGAGTGTCGATGTTCCGATGACCCCCAGCAGGGGCAATGACATGGGTAACTGAGCCCACAATGTGTCAGACTGTTCTCACCCTGAGTCTGAAAGGGCCTGGTTCCGCCTATCGCCTTCTCATTTGGCCAAGGCTAAGATGAAACCTGCCTCCTTTTCCAAGAGGCCACACGTGCAGAAGGAACCACCACAGCTGCTCTTCCCCCTTGGGCTGGGGCTTGGCTCAAAAATGGAACTCATGGGGTAGCGCCCGGCTGGCTCAGTCGGTAGAGCGTGCAACTCTTGATCTCAGGGTTGAGTTTGAGCCCCACACTGGGTGCAGAGATTACTTTAAAATCTTAAAAAAAATGGAACGCAGACACCATCTGCTGTGTCTCTGACCAAAGACTGGTTCGTTCGTTCCTCGCTGGGAGCCCCTTCCCGCCTCTGGGGCCACAAAGCCGCAAAGCCTGACATTCGCTGAGGTTTTGTCAGAATTCTGTCCCCCTTCCAGCAGCATCCCACGGGGGTCATCCCAGGTCTGCATGTCGTCCCCCACTGCATCCAGTGCCAGGAGGAAGTTGCTGCTGCCTTGGCAGAGTCAGAGAGGCCACCGAGAGCGTGATGCTGAGTTTCCGCGATTACACAACGCTCCTCTCGACGAGGGCATGGCCGAGCCAGGGCCCGCCTCCAGCCTGCTCCCCGGCCCGGTTCCCAGACTCCCGCCGCCACCACTCCTTCCACTCAGCCCGGCCAGACACCCATGGACCTGGGGCACACCCGGGTTGGGTGGGGTCCTCCAGAATCTGGGGTCTCACACTGGTCTGAAAGAGCAATTCACAGTCACAGAAGTGCTTAGCAGAAATGAATCCAAGGCAGGCCCCCCACTGTTCTCTCAGGCAGCTCCTGCCTCTGCTCTGGCGCCAGACGTGCAGCCTGGAGGCCCCAGCACCCCTGGGGCCAGGCCGAGGCGCATTTGGAAAGCCCGCGAGTGGCACCTGTGGTGACAGGTCCCCTATCGTCCCGGCAGGTACCCCTCCACCCAGTTTGGCAGCCTCACAGGACTGCAGTCACTGGTCAGTGCGCTCTTCGCCCTCCTGCAGCAGCCCCTGTTTCTGGCCATGATGGGTCCCCTCCAAGGAGACCCCCTCTGGGTAAGAAGGGTCTGGGGCTGTGGGCTATGGGCATCTGCCCCACTCTGCGGCCTCCGAGCTGGGAGGCATCCCTCAGGAGCTTCCAGAGCCCCAACGGCGGGCAAGTTGGGACTTCAGTTAGGATCGATTCAGGGTCCCCTGGTGACTGGTGGCTGGGCAGGAGGAGAAAAGTATCCTTTCTGGACCTGATTTTGGGGTGGCCCTCCCACCAGGGGTTGGGATTCCTAACCAGGCACGGTGAGCTTGCCCCAGTCCTGGTCCCATCCCTGGATGTTCACGTCAGTAGGTCAGAGGTGGGGGCCTGGGCCCTGAGGGCTTCCTAGCGGCCATGGACACTGGGAAACTCTGACGCTGGAATGTGGAACGACGGGCCCTTAGATGGCTTGAACCTTCCAGTTTCAGTTTTTCCTTTCTTCTCTTGTGACCTCGCCTTTTCCAGACATGAGTGTGGGGAAGGGTCTTGAGCCGGGCTCTGCGAAAGACCACAGCTCCTGCCCCGTCCCCTGCCTCACGTGATGGCAACTCTCATTTCGGCTTCTCCAGGTGAACGTGGGGCTGCTCGGCCTGAGCATGCTGGGGTTCTGCCTCCCCCTCTACCTCATCTGCTACCGGCGCCAGCTGGAGAGGCAGCTACAGCAGAAGAGGGAGGACGACAAGCTTTTCCTCAAGCTGAATGGCTCCTCCAACCAGGAGGCTTTCGTGTAGCGCCCACCACCTCGGAACTGTGGCCTCCTGCCCTTGCTTCAGTGACTCACCAGTGTCCTTCTTCCCATCCCAGAGGACCTCCGTGCACCCTCAGGATCCTCTCCTTCACATTTTGGAGCCCATGCTCCCTCCCAGGGCCCTGGTCCTGCCTCGGAGCTGCGCAGTGGAAGGACGGGAGAGGGCCCGGATGTGCGCTTTTCCTACTGCTAGAAGCAAGGGCTCCCGTGGGCTTTGCTCTGCCACCCTCGAGGGGCCCTGGGGCCTTGAGGCTCCGTGGTGCCTGCAGGGGGAGCAAGGAGGACCCCCCCCAGCAGGCAGGCTCTCTCCCTTAAGTGTCTGGATTCTGCCTCTTGCCAAAGCAGTGGGGTCTGCCATCTACTGCCTGCCACCTGCCTCTCGGCTGCATGCCCACTGGCCACACCTGCCCAAGGACAAAGTCTTGCGCTGTCTGCTCCCCCTCGCCTGGCCCCTCGATCTCCTCCCTTGGCCAGTCTGAGGCTGCCTGAGGAAGGAAGGACCCGCTTCCTGTTGTTGGTGCTAACTCCTTTGTAATTCTAGCCCCCTGTGGCCTGTCCATGACCTGGCCTCCTGTTACAGGTCTGTGGAGAAGCCCCCCCTGGCTTAAAGCCTGGGGAGGGGATGGAGGACTGGATAGCCAGGCACCGCTCAGGGGCCAAGGACAAGGCTGATTAGCAGTCCCTCACCTCCTCCCTCAGGGCGAGGAGCAAGTTTCCACTGCCCCCTTCCATCCAGTCTGTGACCTGAAGGGAATTAAAACAGCACCAACAGGGCACCCGCTACACACAGCTGTTCGTATGGGGGTGGAAGTCAGGCTGTTGCCGACAGACGGAGGGCCGGGCCTGACTGGGGAGATGGATGGTGAGGGGCCTCGGGGTGCGTGCACGTGTGGGATGTGTAGAGATGTGTGTGGGGTGTCTGCCCTTATCCTCCCAGAGGCGGCCTCGCTCTGGACCTGGAGCTTGTCTGAGGCTGCGGGGTTGTAGCGCCCCCTGCCGGCAGGCTCCTCCAGGGCCCTGGAGCTGTTTACGTGAGAGAGGCCCCTGTCCTCTGCCAGGCTGGCCTGGCTGTCCAGCCACCTGCCGCCTGACTGCCCCCAGAAATGTGTCTGAGACTTCCTGGGAGTGCACAGCAGGGCGGGTTGATTTTTAGGTCTATACTTTTGGGTCTTTTAAGTTTTACCAGACTCCTTTTTATAAAGCAATAAATCCATTTTCCTCCTGGGAAGGGATGCCCCTGCTAGCATTTCAGTTAATGGCTACACGTGCCTGTTTTGAGCTTGAGAAGAAAAGGCAAGACAAGATTTTTCTGCCACTGACCAGCCCCAGTCATACCCAGTCGCTCCCCATCTCTCTGGGTGATTGCCATCTTGGGAGCTGCACTGGGCCAGAAGAAGACCTTACTCCCCGAGCTCGCCCCCAGACAAACTGGGCTTGTGCAGACATTTTAGAAGTGGGGGCCACCCCTCCTCTGCTGTCTGTCCCAGCCAAACAGCGAATCCTGACCCTTTCCATCCCCTACTCAGATTTCCTACTCCTGGCTCAACTGCCCTGAGGATTCCTCCTGAGCTCAGGACAAAGGGTGACACCAAGAGAGTCTTGGGCTCCAAGAGACAGAGGCAGAATGCGGTGAGGGGAACTGGTGGAGAACAGGAAGGGACAGACCCAGGCCCAAATTTGAGCTCTGCATGAACAGTTGAGCACCTTGAACACACCTCATTTCCCCAGGCTTCAGTCCAGCCCACTCAAACATTAAAAAGCAAAAAACGTTTGTTTAAAACAAACATTTTTAAAAAGGAGAGAGAACCTAGATCGACATTTCCCAAACCATTCCTCAGAGCACTAGTTCCTATAAGATGTTAATTATTCTCACTTAAAAACAAAAACTTCCGCGGTCAAGGGCGCCTGGCTGGCTCAGTCAGTACAGCATGTGACTCTTGATCTTGGGGTTGTGAGTTCGAGCCCCACGTCGGGCATAGAACTTACTTTAGAGAAAAGAAAGAAGATGGTCAAATCTGGGAAACGCGGGGTTAAAGTCAAGCGTGTTTTCTTAGAGCAGCAGGCACTTGCTGCACCCGGCCACCCTGTAGCGTGTTCCCGGTGGCGGGGGGACCGGAGGGCCCCAAGAGCAGGGGCGACGTGCTGCAGAGGGAGCACGGGTTTTAGCGGCCGCAGCCGGCCTCCACGCGAGGCCCAGTGGCCGCCTGCGGCAGGAACACCTCTGGCGCTTGTTAGAAATGTGACCGCCAGCTGTTACCTCTGGCCTAGTCTACATTCGGCTAAGCCCCGCCTGGCCATCCTGTGCCCCCAAACGGTGGAGACCTCATTCTGCTCTGACCGTAGGGAGTTGATGGGTTACATATTTTCCTGTTATCATCCTTGCATCATGATAACAACCGAGGAGTTAGACACCATCCCTATTTTATAGCTGGAAAACTCGAGGCCCAGAGGGTACGGTCACTTGCTCAAGATTAGAGCTGGTACTCAGAGGCTTCGGAAGTCATCACAGAATCCAAAGCCCTCCAGACCAGGACATTCCATTCAGAGCTCCAGCCCCAGGGCCCACCTGGCCCTCGGGAGCAGGGCCAGCAACAGCCCCAGGGAAGGGAAGCAAAAAGCCAGGCATGGTCTCCATTTCCTCGAGCCAAGAGCTTCCTTGGAGCAGGGGTTGAGCTCTACTTCATAGAGTCGTGTTGGCTGATGGGCGCTTGGGGGAGCAAATCTCCCCCAACCCTGAGAGGAGTGCCCTGGGAGGGGACGGGACCACGGGCTGGTCAAAGGCGGTGGGCATCAAGGGGCCACAGACCTTTGTCTCCACTTCCCCTCCCCGCTTTCTTCAGGCTCCCGGTGGGAAGGAACAGGAAGTGATACCTGGAGTGAGGTCAGAGTGAGGAAGGGGGCTGGGCCACCCTAGGGAGCATTGTCAGGAGTCCCCTCCTCCCTAGTCTCCCTGGACTCTTGTCTAGGAGTCTAGTCATTCCTTTGTGGTTGGCTCTCTCCAAACCCTCCTGGGGGAAGGTTCCAACCCTCCTAAAGGCCACAGGTATGGTTGCAGGCCCCTGGGGGTCCCCTTCTGTTTTGTTCTTTCTTCTTTCCCGCTTGTATCCGGAATTGGCCTGGTCAAAAGAACGTCTGCTCCAGCCTTCCTCGTCATGGCCCTGGGCTATGTAGTCTGAGGGGACATCTTACTGCCCTGGGCCCCAAGGACCCTGAAATGGGGACACACCTGGTACTGGGGGTACATAGGCAGGACTGCCCCAGGCAGCAGCATGAACACATTCAGCCCAGTGGAATTTCTGATGCACTTGCATGTCAGCCTATGTGAGTTTGAGTGACTACGTAGGGAGGTCGGGGAGGGGGGCGTGCAGACAAGCAGTTGGCACTTTGTGGTGAGGGGCTCCTGTCCGAGAACTCTGAGAAGTCCTCTCCATGAGATTGGGCTTCGGGGGGCTATTTAAGCACCAGCTCCCCTCCCTCTGAAGGAGAATACAGTGGCTTCTCATGGGCTCTTGGGGTGGTGAGGAGCTTATCTGTACCAATTACCAGGGGCCCAACTCAAGGGACATATAAATGGTGGGATCATGAGGACTTGGAGCCCGAGACCCCAAAAGTGAAGGAGTTGGTTTTCCATAGGCGGCAGCACCCCACCGCCAGGGTTGGGGGTAGGTCAGGGAGAATAGGTGGGCTCTGTGAGCCTGTTTCCACCCGTGCCCTAACTTCCCCAAGCCCTGGGGTGAGGATGTGGTGCCAGGAAGGAGGTGTGGCATCGTCCCCAGGGGTGGCTGTCCGCAGGGAGCCACTGCCTGTGCCCCTGGGTCTCTGCAGGCCGCGTGCCCACCCTTGAGTTAGTCATTCTCAGCCTCCCGGGTGGATCTGAGAGCAGCCGAGGCCCCTGGCAGCTCCCAGCCCCATCCCAGAATGAGGCTCCATCTCCCTGTGCCAAGGAGGAGCAGAGGCTAGAGGCCCCACCACAAATACTATCTCGGTGACATTAGGCATGTCCTGAGCCTCAGTTTCCTTATCTGTAAAATGGAGGTAATGCCCTCACTGTGAGGCAGGTGAACATGGACACACAGCCCTTGCACAGTGGTCTACTTGGGACTTTGTAGGTACTTAACAAGTGAGAGCATTATGTTTCTGATTCTGGAGGCGTGCGGAGAGCCCAGGGAGCGAAGACCACCCCCTCCCCTAAGCCCATCCTTACCATCAGACATCTACTTCAGGCACGTCGGACCAGAAAAGACCTGTGGCCAGGTGGAGGAAGGGAGGTCTGCTGCTCACCCCACTCCCCCTCAGAAACGCTCTCTATGCAAAAGCCTTAAGAAGTGGTCCCGTTGTCCGTTTTTCTTTTATGCCTCACATTTGAGCTAAGAGATTTGGCCCCAAAGCTTCTCGAGATAATTTCTAAATGTTGAGGCACCTGCCGGTTTATGCCAAGCGGGGTGACTGCGATCACGGCATGTGGGCAGCACGTCCATGCCACCTCCTGTGCTCCTGCTTGGCTGTGCCCCGGTGTGCGCGCGTGTGTTCGGATGTGTTCGGGGCCCGTCCGGTGTGATCGCGTTTGGAGGGGTGTGTGGGGGTTCGTCTGCGCGCCACCTCTCCAGCTGGCCAGAGAAGAGGGAGGGGGTCTTGCCTCACTGAGTCCCTTCCCATGGCTGGGAAGGCCTGGGTCCTGAGTGGTGCCTGGAGGATTCATCGGTTCCCCGAGTTAACCAGGGGCGATAGCGTCACCGTAACTCAGTAACAGACCCCGACGTCCTGCTCCATGCTGTCTCTGGCACCTGGCTGACTTCCTGGCACACAGTAAGCACTCAATAAATGTATGCTGAGAATGACTAAGAACTGCTTCCTCCTCCGCTTCTGTGTCTCTTCCTAAGTCACACATCTCTCTGCCCCTTGCCTTTTGCTCAGATTCCCTGTCACTTGATCGAAACAAGCTCCCTGACCCCCACCCCTCCCCTCTGCTGCACTTGCCATCCGCCAGCTTTGCTGGTTTAGCCTTCCGCTCTGCCATTTCAAGAGGTGGGGGAGGGACAGAGTAAGGGGCCTCTTGGATGGGAAGACCAAGGCTCCTGGTGAATTGTGGTTCTAAAGGGAGCTCACTCTCGTCCCTTTTTTTTTGTCCTAAGGTGGTGGTCATGGACATGACTGCTCCTCCTAGAGATTGCCCACCAAGCGGGCCATCCTCCTGCCGGGGCCCTGGGCAGTGGCAGCAAGAGATGGAGAGCGAGCCACTGGGTGTCCCCAGAGAATCCCCAAGGAGATCCCCACCCCAGGGAGGGAAGGGGCAGCCTGGCTTCTGACCCTGCTAGGGTGGAGGGGGCTTGATGTCCAGGGGAGGGATGTAGATGGCCTGCCACATCCCTTTGTTGCTACCTTTCCTTTTCCCATGTTTGACTGAGACAGCTCAGAGAAATATTTCTCTAATATGAGGAGAGCCACAGCATAAGGTCTCTGGTGATGCAGGGGTTGTTAGATTTTGACCTCCGTGCCAGGGACACAGGAGGACCTGGGGGGACGGCCACAGCCTCCATCTAAGGGGCAGTCATGACACCATCATGGCCATGTGGAAATGAGCCTAGTGTTGTCAGATCTTCCGAGTTTTTTCAAGAGAAGCTGAAAATCCAGGGCGCCTGGGTGGCTCAGTCGGTTTAGGCATCTGCCTTCAGCTCAGGTCATGATCTCGGGGTCCTGGGATCAAGTCCAGGGTCGGGCTCCCTGCTCAAGGGGGGAGTCTGCTTCTCCCTCTCCCTCTGCCCCTCGCCCCCCAACTCGTGCACATGCTCTCTCTCTCAAATAAAATCTTTTAAAATTTTTAAGAAAAAGAAAAGCTGAAAATCCTAAATTTTATTATTATTTTTTTAAATCCCCATTTTCAGGGGCACCTGGGTGGCTCAGTCGGTTAGGTGTCCGACTCTTGATTTCAGCTCAGGTCGTGATCTCTGGGTTGTGAGATCAAGCCCCAAGTTGGGCCCCTGCACTGACCACGGAGCCTGCTTGGGATTGTCTGTCTCCCTCTCCCTTTGCCCCCCAAACCCAAATCCCCAGTTTCAAATGTTGGCTCAAAAATAATTTTTTTCTTTTAATTATCATGGCTGCTCAAATAGCTTTCAAGTATATGCAGGCCAAACACTGTCAGAGATAGGGAGATAGAAGAGGAATAAGTAAAGGGCCTCCTTGCCTCTTTTGAGTGCCCAAAGCAACTGCTTGTCTATTTTTTTTTTCTTTTTTTTAAGATTTTATTTATTTATTCGACAGAGAGAGAGACAGCGAGAGCAGGAACACAAGCAGGGGGAGTGGGAGAGGGAGAAGCAGACTTCCCGCGGAGCAGGGAGCCCGATGCGGGACTCGATCCCAGGACCCTGGGATCATGACCTGAGCCGAAGGCAGACGCTTAACGACTGAGCCACCCAGGCACCCATGCTTGTCTATTTCTTTGACTCCAGCAGGTGACACATTTGTCTTACATCAGACTGTGGCCCTACCTGGGCCGGGACCTTTTCTTTTTACCTTTGTCTCCCCCTAGCCTGGTGCATAATGAATGCTGTGGAGTGCGCAAGTGGGTTAAACACTCTAGTCTGGCTTCTAGAGTGGCCGGAGTCTCTATTTAGGGACAGGGAATTGTCAGGCGAAGTGCAGGGCAGAAGCAGCAACCCGTCCTTACTGGCCGAGTGCCTGCCCATGGCCTGGACCAGCCGACACCCTCCTCCACCCCATGGGCCCAGCCCAGCAGCCAGGGTCACACATTTATCTTTTTTTTTTTTTTTTTCCTGTCTAGTGTCTGTCTCTCCACCAGAATGAATGCTCCCTGAAAGCTGGCGCATGCCCCGCTTTGATCACTGTGATACCTCTAGTACTTAGAATGGTGCCTGGCATGGAACAGCTGCTCAATCAATATTTGGAAGATGAAACTTGAAAAGGGAGAGAGACAGACAGACAGACAGAAAAGAGGCTGAACCATGCTGAGAAGCTGGGGGAAGAGCATGCTCTCGCCTGCCAGGGACAGAGCAGAAGATGGAAACAGTGAAACACAGTCTCCCCGAGATACCCAGAGATGGGTTACAGGTGCGGCTGTGGCCGAGACAGCAACAGGGCCTGCCCCCAAGAGAAACTGGGCGGGTGGCAGAACTTTGAGATGCACAGACATGAAGATGAAGGCAAGAGGAAGACCGAGATGGAGCTCAGAGCGCACAGATGGAGGAAGGAGACAGGTGTGAAGAGAAGATGGAAGAAACACTGGGCTGAAGGTCACTACCCAGACAGAGCAGCGGGACAGAGACTGAGACCATGGGGCTGGAGAGAGGCAGAGACAGGTCTGGACAGAATAGGCAGGAGGAGAGGTGAACAGAGACAGAGAGGAAAGACAGAAACAGAGAGAACAGAAATAAAGCTAGAGAGGGAGACAAAGGTACAGAGAGATATGGAGGAGAGATGGAGCGAGGGTTGGAGAGGGAGCTAGAGATGGAAAGAAGACAGAAAGGTGCAGATAGAGATGGAGAGAGGAAGAGAAACGAAGAAAGACATAAGAGGCAGAAGGTCGCTGGGACCCTCGGAGATTTTAAGCCTGGAGCATGGAGAAATAGATTTGAGAGGGCAGTGGTGTCCATCCCTCCTTCCTCACAACACCCCCTTCCCCAGTAACGGTGATGTGGAGACGTGCCATGCACCACACAACATAGCTTAAAGGACATCTCCTCGTCTT